AATAAAGGTTTATAGTTAATGTTGATATTTATATTGTGCAAGTTTTCTGTATTGTTTGATACGGTTTATGTTAAATTACTGTTAATATAAATATAATGATTTATATTATAATTAAAGTAGAATAGGCTAAACTGTGACACCAGTGGGAAATACATGTTACAATTACAGAGGTACCAGTTTGTATTTGGGGCTTCTGAAGTTTAACACCAAATATTGAAAAAATATATTCACGCTGAAACATGGAAATGTATTGACGATGATTGTTATCAAATAAATGAATACTTACTGTCTGAACTTCAAAAGATCTAAAGATAGGTTTGTTACTTACTGTCTGAACTTCAAAAGATCTAAAGATAGGTTTCTTACTTACTGTCTGAACTTCCAAATATCTAAAGATAGGTTTGTTATTTACTGTCTGAACTTGAAAAGTTATAAAGATAGGTTTCTTACTTGTGGTGATCAACAAACCAATAAAAGTACGTATAGTATATATCAAGATCAGAAGCAAATAGTCGGTTCACTTGTGGTACAATGTCAGGAATGAGGTCAACAATTTCAATCAGACTACGGACTTTATAAAGAAGTTCACACTTATTTTAAAAATTGTATACTGTTGTAACTCTGTTCTTTGGTTGACAGATTATTTTACATTATCTGGTGAAAACTATTTAAGGTTCAGAACAGGTAACGGTACCAGTTCTGTTTACTTCCTCAATGTTTCTACAAGTTTCTTTCATTTATAAACTGTTGTAATTTTTCTGTTTAAATCGGTATTTTGTCGTTGTCAGATATTTTTACTGTGTGTATTAAACTGACATGAAATCAGAGCTTGAAACGTGAATTTAAATACATTGGTTTAAACACTGATTCCAGTTCCCTCACCTGGGCCATGTCCATGTAAATACATCGGTTTAAACGTTGATTCCAGTTCCCTCACCAGGGCCATGTCCATGTAAATACATCGGTTTAAACACTGATTCCAGTTCCCTCACCAGAGCCACGTCCATGTAAATACATCGGTTTAAACACTGATTCCAGTTCCCTCACCTGGGCCATGTCCATGTAAATACATCGGTTTAAACGTTGATTCCAGTTCCCTCACCTGGGCCATGTACATGTAAATACAT